AGCCCCAAACCCTAAACCTTAACCCCCAAACCCTAAGCCCCAAACCCTAAACCCTAAACCCTAAGCCTCAAAGCCTAAACCCTGAACCCCAAGCCCCAAACCCTAAACCTTAAACTCTAAACCCTAAGCCCTGAACCCTAAACTCTAAAGCCTAAACTCTAAACCCTAAACCCTGAACCCTAAGCCCTATAAACCCTAAACCCTAAGCTCTAAACCATTACGGTTGAGGACCTCATGAGCTTAGCGCTCAGGGCTGTAAAGGGGCCCCACACAAAAAACGAAAACCCCCAAACAAAAAAGGGTTTAGGGTTTAGGGTTCTAATAATTCCAGAAACACCGGCGAAAGGACGCCAGTAACCCAGGGGTACACCCCAAGCCCTTTTCTAATTATTCAGGCCCTCGGACCCGATTAACATGGCCTTGAAGTTAAGAATCCCAAACCCTAAACCCATGTCAAGCCCTTTTCTATCATCCTTCAAAATCCCCTTGACAAGCACCGGTAATTCCTGCAAAACATAACTCCCATAACACTGGAATGCTTAAAGTCTTAAGCCCAAAACCCTGAAATAACTGTACTTATAACTACATACAACTCCAACTGAGGTGCTTCTAACCTTACTTACTAAGTCCCCTGATCCCCAAATCAGCCCGGAGGCCCGGATCTCCCGAGGATAAAATCAGAGACCCCTAAACCCCTCAATTAAGGTAGGGTTTAGGGTTTAGGGTTTGGGGTTGGGTTGAAGTATCATGGGAAACCTTATATGGGCAGTTCTCTAAATTAGAGGCCCTTTCAGGGAGCCTCTTTTTTATTATCAGGGTACCGTACTTTAGCGGGGACCTAAGAAGGGACCCTACTTTAGAGAACTACCCCTATGATTTTCCCTAAACCCTGAACCCTAAACTCTAAATTCTAAACCCTATAATTAAGCCCTATAAACCCTAAACCCCTAAACCCTAAACTCCTAAACCCTAAACCCCGAAACCCTAAACCTACCCGTATGATTTAACGCATGTTCAAGGCAACCCTGAGTGCCCACGCCAGGCTGCCGCATCTTCAAATCCGCCCTCGCGGAGAGCTAGGATCAGCTGACCCAACTCACGGCCTCGGCTTATAGGGCTTAGGGTTTAGGGTTCTGGGTTTAGAGCTTAAGGTTTAGGGTTTAGAGTTTAGGGTTTAGGGTTTAGCGTTCAGGGACTAGTAATGCCCCATCCTAGAATATCTCCTTTATCATCCCCAAACCCTGAACAAACGACAAGAATCCTACAACCCCAAAGAAGTCCTGAAAGAAACCCCTCCTGTCCTTAAAGAAACCCCAAAAGAAACCCTAAACCCTAAACCATAAACCCTAAACCCTAAACCCTAAACCCTAAACCCTAAACCCTGAACCGTTATAAACCCTAAAGAAAACTCTAAAGCAACCCCTCCTCCCTTGGCAAAAAAGCGGCAGAAGACCCGGCCACCGAGCTCGCCCGCTGCCCCAGGGAGATCGGCCCCGAGCCGCGCCGGGGAGGGCGGAAGCGCCTTCTTCCGGGTTTTGGGGGGTGTTGGATTTAAGGCTTTAAGGATTTAGGGATGTAGGGTTTAGGATTTAGGATTTAGGATTTAGGGTGTAGGGTTTAGGCTTTAGAGTTTAGGGCTTTAGGGATTTAGGG